TCGGTTTACGAGGGGCAACACGCTGCTGACGTTTACGGGCGAACGAAACCCGGCGAGTGCACCGGCACACGATTAATTCCCGCGCGCCTTGTTCCAATCCGAAAGTTTTACGGAAAATACGATACCAAGGGGAACGGTAGACGAGCACCTTGCCTTCTCTCTCTCTTTCTCTCTCTTTCTACATCCAGAGAAATCTGCGTGCGTTTTCCGTAAGGGACGATGCTTACTTGGGAAAGCTAGAGCTTTCGTCTGCGAACCACGCGGCTAGAAAACGGATAATTAAAGCACCGTTGCGTTTCGAGCGAGGTTACCCACGCGGGGTGGGAATTATGGTAACACTTGTTGTAGGAATGGCATGAATACAGTAAGGTCGGCCTCTGGTTACTGCTATGGTACCACGGCCCATTATTTCTAGTTTGTAAGTTATTCCAAGTACGATTCGAAAGGATTATTACGTTATACAGGGTGTCTCGTAATACGTGTCTGATCGAGACTCTTGAAATTCGTCGATTAAAAAAGAAAAGTGAAAGAATATCGCGTATAGGGAAGATTACTCGCAGTTGTCCGGATGCTTTATCGTCGAGGAAGAATAATGGAATCGTGGTCATTCAGCGATTACGACTGGGTTTCGGTTTGGCCACGGTGCCAATTTTTAACGCCGTTCTCCAATGCGTGCTCACGCAACGATGAACGCTCTTTTCTCTTCTACGGTGCATATTTTATCGAGAATAAAATGGACAACGGCCAACTACGACTTGTAAACCCGTGGCCGACCCCGTACTACCTTCACGACGTTGGTCACGAAGCGACGATTTAGATTCGCGAAAGCAACGAGGCTCGATAAATTTCAATTTTATGACGCGCGTCATACTTTTCCTTACGGAGCTTCGATCCTTGTGCTTTCTGCCTTGCCTCTTTGTCGTTCGTACACAGGCCGAGATTCGATCGGGGAATTTCTCGAGCGGCGGGACGCAGAGATCGTGTAAGAAATTGGCGAGATACGATTCTACCGATGTCGAAACGAAACGACGACGACAGATTTTAATTGACCAGGAAGCAGAGATTACACCTGGAAAGAGAGCACACAATGGTGCATTGTCCGCGGGACAAGCGTCAACCTTAATCACGGATGTACCCCGCCTTTGTCAATTTCCATAGTTCAATTCTGCCTGTGTTGTCTATTGCCGCTCGCCCACGGATTCGCTCGAAACATCGGCGCATCTAATACGCATTTGTCCCTGTTGCACTTTATACGTATACACATACACATATATATATACATGGTCGAGAAACAGAGATAAGCAGCCACGATGCTGCTGCATCGAGGCCACGATCAAACAATGTCTATTGTGCAACCGGTAAGCGATACTAACGACTATCTCACCTCATCGTTGGATGTTTTGATATCTCCATTATAGAAATGAAATTTCACAAGTATTCACGTGACAAACAATCCCCCTCCTCCTCTCCCATCGTTGCGACTTTTCGTCGGCACGTTTTCCGCCAACAACGTGTCAACGTACCCACGGCAAATTATTCGCCAGGTATCCTTGACACCCACGGATCGACGTTAATTAAAAAAGATACGCGCAGGCACTTCACCCACGTTCTCACGAGTGCCCGATCCACGACGCGATAACACCATTTGAAAATAATAATAAAGATTCGCCGAGATAATGATATTCCTGGATCGATATGAAAAGCAACGAGAGTCGTCTTTATGTTAACCTCCTTTCCGCCCCGCGTTGTCGATCGCTTATGGAACTCCAGGGGAAAAAGGAACTACGTATCACTGAAAACTTTATCGCTCTAACCGCCTACGTAATAACGGTATAGCCGTGAAGGAACATACACACGGTCTCTCTCTCTCTCTCTTGAAATTCTCGCGTCGATAAAGTTTAAACAGGGAACAACGCGAGCGATAACCATGCACGTATGCATGTACGTTTGTACGATTGTTTGTGCAAGTCCCTGCTACCCGAGGTGCAAGTTGGGCTTTCCGGAATACGATAAGAATGACGACGTCGATACCAGGTCTGGCTAGACCGGGTGCCGAACTTGCCGGAGAAATTCGTTGGGAAAACGGAGAGAAATGTAGGGGACCCTTGACCCTTATGCCCTGTAAAAGATTTTAATATCCAGATCGTTTGGTTCAAATTTAGAATCTTGTTATCAGGATCAAATGGACAATTTCCAACGTCGTTGGAAGAAAAATGGGAAAATTCGCGAGGTACACCCGGTAGACACGTACGGTGGTATTTAACGCGACTAACGGGTTCCTCGTTTTCGTCATTTTTACGGCCGCGCATATTAATTACCCGCGAATGAGATTCCCCCGCGAACCTGCGGCCTGTTTTCGCTTACGTCGAAACCGTTTCGCAGAAGTGGGAATTTTTTGGCCGGCCCGATGTTGAGATATCAAAAAGCTGGTTTCGTAAGTAGACAACCTTCGCTTTCACCGCGACTTATTTGACCAGTTGCAGAAAGTTCGTTCGACGAGCTTTCCGACGGGGGTGGGAGGAAAAAGTGCGAGGACAACTCGACTGTACAAGGTGTTGGAAAGTTTAAAAGGGCGCGAAAACGTGGCACGGAAAGGTATAAACGCGTTATCACGAAGGCTCGATATGGGAAAAAGAAGCCATATGATCGTGGACGAACGACTGGGTGCCATAGAAGGGAGTACAACGATGGAATCCCGCCCTGGCCACTCGTATATATTCCATCTCGATCGATATGACCGGGTAGCAGGTGCCTTTGTTCGTAAGGGCAACCACTTTTACCTTTTTCCTTTTCGTACGGTGACGTTCGTGCCTCGCGAATTAATCATGCTTCCGTTTTACAATCAACACCGAAGCATATTTTCTTCAAAAATTTTCAGATGTTCTTTCGAACCGTATCGTAAAATATAGCACAGTTCATTAGGCGAAAAATCCGATACAAATTTAAATACGTAACACGGGCAACAACGGTTGATCGCAGCGATGCAACGATGAGAATAAAGGTTACAGGCTGAATGGTAGAAAATCATGGCAAATAATACGCGTCGTAGCGTATGAAGATTAATGGCGAACGCTGATGCGTTCTTTCATTAATTTCTCGTTTAAAGAGCGCGCGTGGAACGGATGAATGATCTACGCGTACGCACGCACACACGGGCAAAGCCTCGTAGTCGCATGCGACCACGGTGCCAGAGGCAAAATATACAAACGTCGCGTCTTTCAAAATAACACCGATTAACTGCTTTAACTATCCATTTTAATCCCGACTCCCTCCAAAAAATTCCCACCAACCACCTATTACCCTTCGTTTCTACACGGAAATCCTCCTGGTGACGTGGGCACCGACGATTATATAAATACGACTCGTACGATTACAGTATTCATTTTCCCCCACTCGTCGTCGTATCACGCGATATCAGTGCGTATCGATGAAATCCGACCGTGGTGTATTAATTACTGGTCAGCGATCTTTTTGTACGTCGCGAACGTACGATTGCGTACGATTAGAACGAGCTGGCGGTATGCGTCACCGACCACGATACTCTCTGCCTGGCCCGATAGATAATCCTCGAGCTTAAACTATTTTAAAGTAGCGAATAGATAGCACCCTATTCACCATATGCGCGACACGCCGATGTTTATTTTTCTTTTAATATTTTTTTCTTATCTCGTACCAGGTTGAACGGAAGTTTTTTTTCTTATGGATTAGAAGTAACGCGCGCCATTCGGTATCGGGTATATCATCTTACCACCTGAATCGGGTACATTGAAACATTTTTTTTTTTTTTCGTTTCTTTCTTTCACTACTCTGTCGTGGAAACACGATATCTCGTGTCTCTTTATGGGATATGGTTACGCAATATCGTTACGAAGCAACGTTACAGAGGCAGGCAATAGGCGATAGCCACGGTATACGTGTATGTACACGCAGCCACGAATACAGCCTGCTTAAAGTGATGTAATTGTTTACTAAATCGCGCTGAAAGCATAATCTTTCGCTGGAGGACACGTGTCTCCGTTTCTCCGCGCGAAACGCGAGAACTCGCGGGGCAATTAAAGTATGTAAACATCGCCTGGTATTCTTCGGTGAAATAGTTCTTTTGCCCGGCGAGATTCTTGGAAATGTGACCCTGAATAAAAGAAAGGACTCTCGTATATGCTACGTCGCATTACTATGTCGCTACACGCACACGCGACACGCATATACGCGAAATAAACCGGATAATGGAATACCGCCGTAAAGAGACAGGTAAAGATATCCGGAGGAGACAACGACACGGTGGATCGATGTTTCTCATCAATCACCACGGAAGTATTTCGACAAGAGTAGCGATAGCGAATTATCTGAAGCGAGATCAAATTGTACGATTCAGATAGCGCTTTTTGGCCTGGTGTACGATAGTACACGGTCGTTCGATCACGATGCTGTACAAGTAAACCTCGTATCGTATTGTCAGCGAAGGGTAACCGGATCAGTCTGATTTCAACGAGTCTCGCGTCGTTCAATGAGAAAGAATCAGCGACACTGTTCTATTACACTGAATCATACGAAAGGTCGTATTTTCTAACGCACGTTCGCGTATTTCCTCTTCAGAATATGTAGTAAAATACAACACAACGTATCCGTGTTATTTTCAATCAATGAAAACACTACGTGACCCTTCAAGTGCACCAACCTAATATTAAAGAAACACGGTGTGTGTGTCTCTGGCAAGAAACGAAACGAAACGAAACAAGGCAAACTTGTTCTTTTCAGTAAGAAAGAGAGAAAGAGAGAGGGAGAGGGAGATGAGAATGAAGAGATGCGAGAGAGTAGGGATGAGCAGGAGAGGGGAGTGGAAGAGGGAGAGGAGTTGATAACATGCCAGCTGTGCGCAGGAACGAAGAGGTTAGGTTAGAATTGGCGTTTGGGGGTCGCGAGGTCAGCTCACGGGATCGAACGACCGAACGTAGATAGGAGAGATAGCGGTAGATATACCGTGTTCGAATAATGAGACTCACCTCGTTGAAGGCCATCTTCTTCGTTATGCTTCCGGACTCGCGGCTGCTTCCGGCACCTCCTTGCCCCACCGCTCCTGTAGATGAGGATCGTCTCCCGGGGCCGCCGGACTAGTTGTTCCAGCAGCAGCTGATCTCGCCTGTCCAGAAATCCAGGGGAGGACGAGAGCACATCGAAACGGCGAGAAACGCCACTCGCGGCACACCAGACACGAGCACGAAGCCGAGCACGACGACAGCGACGACGACGACGACGACGACACTCGCGACCGACCTGTCTCGCAGCCCTCCGCGACACACATACGTCACGGGACAAAACGACCGTACACCTTTGCCGTGGGGGACCGCCTAACCAAACGGACACTTTCGATCGACTTGCACGCGATCCGTCACGCGATTACCATCCCCCACACGAGCGAGTCGACGTTCCGAGGATAATCTGGCATTCCTCAGGTGGGCACCGACAGGCACCTTCGCCGACGTTCCAAATACCGCAACCGTTTAACCGGTCGATCAGAGTGATTTACGATAATCCCGACGCGTTACCAATCGACTGTCACTCTACTATACGCGTATACTGATCGAAACGATCTCCTTGATTACTCTCTAACCGTTTCTCGCACTGTTTTTTTCACGTATTTATATCCGTCGCAGAACTATCCGCAAACAGAGGGGCGCCATCTTGATTTCTGCTGTCGCGGAACGAGCCGAATGAGATGCGCGCGTCGCCGACACAGCTGTGAACGGGTACACACGATGGGTGACCGCGGTATTTCGGAACACATGCGACGCAACCACTTTCCACACTCGTCTCTTACTACGACGTGTTAGAATACGACCTGATTGTTATTCAGAAGTTACGACCTTCGTTGATGGATCGTTCGACACGCGTCGCAGTTTCCTTTCTGTTCGCGCGTATTTTATACCTAGAAAGCGTAACAACGCAAACTGATATACTTTGTACTACATATTATGTGAAATGGTAATTGAAAATTGCGGGAATTCGTACGATACTGTAACTACGTTCTGATTGGCGGAACACCAATGGAAGGAATTTTACCGTGGAATTTGAACGCGAAAGTTTCACGCTCGGAATAGTTTGTCAAGTGGCGTAGTTGATAAATCGATAATTAGAAAGGCGAAAGGGGTGCTTGATTAAGTGAGAACGATAGTTTTTATGGTGTATACCTAAAATATTCTTGAAATTTCGCTGAAAAAAAGACTGCGACGAACGGAGGTATTTCAAGCTCGCACGCCATCTTGAATACTAACTTAAAAATGGCCGCTGAAGCTGCGGCATAAGTCAGTGGTGCAGTGTACACGATAGCAGTGCTTGGTTTATTGTTGTATTACGGTGTTCGCGTAGTGTTCGGTTATTTTTAAATATAGATACCCTTTTGCGGTTTTAGTATATCTTTAGTTTTGCGTGTGATTCTTTGAAAAAGACAGTAGAGCTGCTTGTAATGGGCCGTTCTAGATCCAGGACAAAATCTCCTAGTAGGCGGCGTCATAAGAGTAAGCATTCGAGAAAACGTTCCAAGTCGCGTGAAAAGCATTCGAACAACAAATACTCCGACAAGCCAAAGGAACGCAGTTCAAAGTCAAGGTAATCTCTTCTACGTCCCCATCAAATACACGCATATTGTATCCGTTTCGTTTTATTGAGTTTCCGCCATTTTGCCACACATACGATAAAAGAAAACTTTTACACTTTGATATATGTATGTTACGTGTGGGACTTACGTCGTTTATAGTGGTATATATCTTAATGCGTCGTTCGTAGTTTTCTATTAATAAATGTTGCAACGCAGTCTACGAATTGTACTTCGCTTATCGGTTAGTTTGTCTCGTCGTTACGTTGTAGTCAGGTGTAACGTGAATCCATTTATTTGTTTATGCAGGAAACGGTCACATTCTGCATCTTCTAGTTCAGGCACAGACGCTTCAGATGATGTTCACATTGTCAGTCACAAGAAACGGTCGTATAGAGACAGGGATCGTAAAATGGATGAGGTAGAAAGATTAGCAGAAATGGAGCGTCAGAGGTAATTAGTTTATCCAAATCTAGTTGCTTCTTGTTTAATTTACCTGCTTTTATCTATCAAGCATACTTAGACTAATATTAGTTGTACGTAATAGTTTGTTTTTATTGAAAAACATTGGATTAAAGAGGATGACAAGTTAAATTGTTCTATCATTTACATGTGCACTTGATGTTATTGTAGAGTTAAGGTATTTATACCTAGCAGTTACATTGTGTATTGTATTCTATGATATTCTTTATTTTTTCTTTGCTGCAATCAAATAAAAATATTTGCAAACGTGAATACATCTCATTGTGTTTTATTTGTTATAATGCAAAACTTTATTTCTATACTTTAATTCCATTGGTATACGTTTTTTTTTATTTATAATTATGTTGTCAGGAAAAAGAAAGAATTATCGAACAAAATCTTCACCGCAAGTGCAGTTGGGTAAGATTGTATGACTATCTCATGGTGGTGGTTTATCATGTCATGTTTGTATGCAAATAAGTACCTGATATTTTAATAAATCAAATTTTTTCAATTTACCTGTATAATTGTGTTCAGAAATTGTTGAAATAAATTTGACGAAAAAAGCATGCTAGGTGACTTACATATTTGGAGAGTGTGTGCTACTCCTGTAGCATTAGAACAACAAAATATTCCTGTGTTTACAGAAGGCAACGCGAGGTGGAACAAAAAATGGTGGAGGAAGAAGCTGCCAAACGAATAGAAGAACTAGTGCAGAAGAGGGTGGAGGAAGAGCTAGAAAAACGTAAGGAGGAAATAGAAGCTGAAGTACAAAGGAGAGTAGAAGAAGCTAAAAGGGCTATGGAGCGTCAAATGATGGAGGAAATGGAATGGAGACAAGCAAAGCTTCGTGAGGAGGAGAAACGAAGAGAGGTAAGACCAATCCAGAGAAACATTGGCCAGTGTTAGCCCAAGCGCTGTTTCGATCAACAGGAAATAAGTCTGGTGCTCTATCCTCGCATTATTTTTATATTTATATGAACGATTTATTTTTATAAAAAGGCAAAGCTATAAATATCTATGAAAATGTATAATAATGGAGGAAATGTATTTTATAATTTAATAGCTTGACTGGTAAGATACACTTTAATTTATATGTTTTTAAAGCTATGAAAGAGAAAAAGCTTAGGGGTACTATATATATATATGTTGTGCGTATATCGACGTAAAAAGATTATAAAATTCTAATTGGACATTCTATGAAATTATATAAATGTTACTAGTTGAACAGTATCTATGGTGAAAACAAACACGTGTGGTTGTAGCGCTATATTAAGCCTCTATTTCGCGATCACAGCGTTTGGGCTTGAAGCATTGTGGTTGATAATTATGAGAAAAGTATTATTAAAAAGCCACATTGCTTCGACTTCCCAGCATCCACTGAGGTCGCGTTGTTGGGAATGTATACTTTCTCTTGTGGGAAGAATTTTGCTATTATAGGCGCATGTATCGGTTATTTATGAACAGAATATTGTATTTGTACCATGTATATATTTATATATTTGTACAACATTTAATACCTTTCATCACACAATATTTTTGATCGCCAGTTGTACTCGCTATTGAAAAAATTGCGTTCGGACGACTACGCCTACGTTTTTGCTCGCAATTTTTACAATCGTCGTACCTGACAATCCAGCAGACCTAATTACTTATCGATCTAGTTTATATCCGCGTGTGTGAATGTCCACATAATCGTATCGTTCAGTCTTTTTAACCGAGTAGAGAAAGAAGCATCCAATTACTTAAAGTTAGCGATCCCAAACTTTGTAACTTGCTAAGCAGAAAGAAAAAAAAAAAAAACATTACGATCGTAAGTTTGAAATAAAGTTATTTTTCTAACGAAACTACTAGGAAACTGATATTTTTCCCTGAACAGTGTTTTGCTGTCAGTGAAACGGTAGATTTACAAAATTATCGAACATTTTTTCACGAGAATTTTGTTAAATTTTATCGTAAGACGTTTGCAGAATTTTTCTTAGCTCTATCTAGGCGGTATACCTAAATCATGGGGTATATATAAAAACAGTAATAAAGATTGCGAACTAGACTTTTATCCTTTTCTCAATCGATATATATGTATATATATCTTTTTTCACATACGAATTATCTATTTTTTTTTTTGTTTTTTTTTTTTTTGTTCCTTTTAATAATCGTATCTGATATACTTCGATGAAATGCTTTTTTTTAAACATTATGGAAATAAAGGATAGAATCGTTAATAGCTTTAATAATAATGAGAAGAAACATTTTATTCTGTCCCATAACTTCACATTCTAAGCTCTAATAACAGCTTCAACTAATTTAGCGTAACTGATATTCCAATGAGTTACAAGAAAAGGGGTCCTGTTATTTGATCAAATTGGCAACGATTTTAACTACCTACAGATTAAAACTTTATACATACATATGTGTGTATACTCAAGTGATATTTTCGTCTTTTTTTTTTCAATTGTTTTTTTTTTGTTTTTTTTTTGTCACTTCTCTTTTCTCTCTCTCTCTCTCTCTATATATATATAATATTTCGTTTCTCCTCGAATTACGAGTAGGAGTTTCTCTTCTACCAGGTCTTTTTATGTATGTGCACAATTATTTATTCTCACCCTCGGGAAATCAGCACGTTCCGGTCAAATGGACAGCGACCCTGATTACAAGTTGACCATACTTTTTTATCCTTATTGCTTTGCACATTGAGTTTGCACTGAATATGTGGACAAGTTTGGGAGAGAAATTAATTAGAAAGGGAGAAGTAGACCTTAAAGGGCAGAATTAGAAATCCCATAGCAACAAAGCACGACCTAGCAATATATAGGTCACCTTCCTTACTGACTACCAACAGAAGATGCCGGTTTTTTACTCACTGCTGAGTGATTGTCGATGAAGAAGGCATCCCCTACGTGCTGGCGTGAGCTTCATTCAGGTATTATCCAATTTATATATTCATAATTCATTTTATACCAATTACATTATTATCGTTCTTTGTTTAAAATAAATAAATAAACACTATGTATCGGAAAGACAATACTAGGGATTATTTTAGATTTGCTAAATATTAATACCTGGGACACAACGCATTTTCGTCGACAGGTCGGGGCGGATGGCACCACTCGTTCGTAAATATTTTTTTAAATACGTTTACCATCTTTTATTTTTTTTCTCTTGTCAAACGCACATCAACCATTTAACGAAGATTGTATATTATTATCGAACGAATTATCTCTTGCGCAAGGAACTTGGCGTTTTTTTTTTTTGTCTTTCTTTTCCCCCTAAAGTTACTTTTTTGTTTTGTTTTTTTTTTCCGTTTGGTAAAGTATCTTTCGATAATACACCTTTTGCATTTAGAACTTTACTGCTGCACCATTTAAAAAAAAGAAAAGAAAAGAGTTCACTCGACGTGTCGCGTTTTAAGAATGAAAAAAACGAAAGGAGAGTTACGAACTTTTGCTGTACGTCTTTGTTTGCATGCACAGTGGATTGATTCAGAAATCATAATTCACGTTTTTTCACTTTCAAGTGGCATCCTAAGTGGTCGTATTTCCATCTGGGGAATCTGACAATAAACAGCATTCGCTGGGATACAAAGAGAGGAGCTGGTTTAATCCAAAAAACGAAAAACTGGAACTGGGTTTACACATGCGTCCTCCGTTGTTACTTTGTCTGAACAAAGCCATCCTTCAGATATTTTCTCTTTGGTACCCGACCTCGAAATTCTCACACATTTCCCGAACATATTCTTTCCCATATAAAGGGCATATAATATACACACAGAAAAAAAAAAAGAAAAGAAAAGAAAAAAGAAAAAAAGAATGGTTCGTAGGATGTATAACACTAGGCTGTTGACATAGCGGCACTATGATTTTGGATATGAACGGTGTAACAACAGCTGGTGAGCGACACCATCATTGCTTCATGTAAATAGATCCCATTGTCGT